TTTTGTATTGCTCTTTGTGGAGTTTTCCTAAACTCCCACTCCATTTCCACACACTTATCACCCTCCTCCTCTTGGCCAGGCAGCAAACTCCAGTTAGGTGCCTGCAGAGTCTTCAGACCTCTCTGCAAATCTTTGCTTGAGGGTTAATGTCATATGAATCACAAGGGCATTTTATCATCAGGAACAACCAAATACTCTGATTTATACATGGAAATATCTACCATATGTAAGTTCCTTACTCAAACTGATAAGTTGGCAAGAGGTAACTGAGCCAAGGGATTTTTTTTTTTTTTTTAATGACACTCCTTGTTTGCTGCTTTTCCCTGTGATAAACATCAGGCACAGGTGTGTACACACACCCGACAGCTTTTAAACTCAAGTGTTAGTTTACTAGGAAAGCTTCATAAGCCAGTCAGGTAATTTTCTTAGATGACTAATGAAGGTGCAGTGCAAAAGCCATGCAACTTGTCCATATGGAATGGGAATATCAAGCGGAGGGACCGGTGCTCGGCTGGCTCGGGACGTAACCGAGACCTGAATATTTCTGCTCTATTTTTAACCAGCGATATAATTAGAAATAATCAAGGAGCACACACCAAACAGAAACAAATGACGACCTCCTGTTTCCAGGGACCCCAAACGATCCGTGCTCCAGCCTCAGCCCCCCAGGAGGAGCATCCCTGGCAGCAGCACCTGGGAGTGGTTCCCACCCCTCCGGTTCTGGGCACCTCGTGCAGCTCCAGGCCCACCAATTGCTAATTCTGTTCCACCAGGACTTCCCAAACCGGCAGTTTATCCTCTAGCAACAAAATACATATCGATTCCAAGGACTTTGAGAATACCAGGGAGAGACAGAACAAATTTCCTGCCTCTGAATAATCTCATTTGCAATCTTAATGGTGTATATACAGGCTATCACAGCTTTCCTGTTAAAAACTGACACCAACTTCATTTTTATTCCCAATAATGCAATCCTGTATAGATCCAAGTTTATACATAAATCTCAACTCAGTAACAAACAGTTAAGATTCAGCAGTTAGATTTAACAAAACAGGTAAGATTTAGCTTAATTTGATGCTTCTTCCTGATTTTTTTGGTTTTACTCCCTTAGCTAAGTGAAACATTGTCCTGACTCTAAAATCAGTATCTCATCTCACCATATCTGCAGATCAACCAACTAGACTGAAAAACACACTATTGTTTGCAGACACACAAATAAATGAAGTTATACAGCTTTTTTTCCTAAAATAATTCAGCTGCACTCTTTTCTTCTTCAGAGAGCAACGACCAGCTATTTATAGATGGGATCAAATGTCCCTCCAACACACACAGCTCCATACAAAGAACATGGGCTTCCAAATCTGCAACTTCTGCTCATTTATGGCATTTTTATCCACACCAAAATGCCAACATGGTGGGGTTTTGCATTAAAAACACAGCAAGCAGCACTTCACTCCTGACAAGCAGAGCTGGGAGTCTCACAGCTGAAGCTCCACCTGGACCCACAAACTTGGTGTTCCTCTGCCTCTCCAGCCCTCAGCACCAGCCCAAGGAGGCTCTTCCCAACATCCTAAAGAGATGAAGCTTCACCCAAAGCATGGGACAGAAGACGTGGCACTGCCACCCTCACATCTAAAACACCAAGGGGAGCACTTTCATGCCATGGAACGTCTCTGCCTGACTCCCTCTCCTACGAGCAGGGAGGGACTTGCCACAGGATCTCCCCTCCCCTGTGCTGATATAAAAGCATGTGGAATATCCCCTATTTAAGAAGAAATAGCAGCAATCAGGTGGGAAATAGTGTGAATTAAGATGAAGTTCATCCACCACACATGAGTACCTCATCCTCACTGAGAACCAAGAGAGCCTCTCCCTCCCTCTAAAGACCAGGTACAGACACCCTCAGGTAGGGAAAGCCCAGCTCCTGGTCCTCAGCAGGGACCCCACGGGACAGCACCCATGGACACGGCACAAAGGCACCTTCCACAGGAGAGAAAGAGGAGAGGGGGAGTTCAACAGAGATTCCCATATTTTCACAATGATACCTCCAAATTCCTGCTCCAATGAGGGTTTTATTCTGTGTTGTTTCAGCACATCACTCCCCCTTTGCAGACTTAATTCACATATTTGGCTCCAACAGACAGAACTTCACCTGCCAATTTGATTTCCTCAAACCACAAAGGATTGTTTTAAACTAGCAAAGAACAACCAACACAACCATAACACCAGTGAGCTGTCAGGAGAGCAGGAATACCGGAAAAGAATCATCACATGGCAAGATTTTAAACATTAAAAAGTATCTTAGCTGTTACAGGTACTTTGTAGATCTTTGAATCCTACTACAATATTTAAAAAAAAATAAAAAATCTGCTTCAGGCCTGGAATCTGCAAAGCTTAGAGTGTGTAAGAGAACAAATAAATATATTCCCTGTCAACAGGAGTCACCACACATGGTTCCATCAGTAGTGTCCAAAAAGAGAACTACTACAGACATCAGTGCCTAATGTGATTCGAAACAACAATTACACCATTTAATATCAGAGTTTAGCCATTCTTACTTTGCCAAGTTACTAAAAATCACTCATTTGACCAGCGGTTTTATCCAAATTCCATTTGCACAGATCTTTCTCTTAAAATACCAAGATTCAATCAATCTACCCGGGAATTTATTTTTTTTTTTTTAAATCCCAGCATTCAAGCCCAGATTTTCTTTCAAGCTTCCTACGAGCTTATTGCTGGCAAGGAGGAAAAAAGAAGTTACTTTTTAAAGCCAGCATTTGGCAAAACGAGCAGATAACATCGCTGCAAAGCTAGGGAGGCTTCTACGGTATTAATAGGCTCATGCAAGGGCTTTAGAGAAAGCCTTCTCCTGCCTCACCTGGGCCAGACTGCGTTTTCCGTAGCCTATAAAGAACCGGGATTCAATCACGGATCATTAAAGGTAACAATGGTAAAAGGTGTGAGAACGACCGCGGCTGAAACGCTGCCAGACCGCTCGTTTCTGGGCGACTGCGGCAGTTCCCAGGCAAGTTCCCCTCTGCCCACAGGTTGCCGGTACCGAGCCCGCGCCGCC